AAAAAAAATACAATTTTTTAAATTCAGAAAACAAAACTGTTCATAGACACAAGAATGCACAAAATAAAAGAGAAGAAGACTGGAGAGGCAGAAAGATAAAAGTCTATTTAATATCATTGTCTCTCAGGATCCTTCTTGGTCCACCCACCCCACCCCCTAAATGCTCCATTGGCCTGTGTCATCACCCCAGGAGGCAAGTTCAGGCTGATAGGTATTTACCGTCCCACAGTCTGTCTTGTAAGCCAGAAGTCCCATGTGAAGTGTTGCACCAGCTTCCAAGGCCCAGGCAATATGTGGAACTAAGCATTGGGGTGGGGGCTTCCTGTTCTTTTAGGCCCTGTTCCCCGCAAAGCAGCTGGGAAGGTAAACTCTGGGTTTCTGCTCAACTCCCACTACCTTTCTCTCAGTCAACACAGGCCAACAGCTGGTCCCGTTAGAGCTGTGGCCTCTGGTCCTCAGGCCAGGGCTGGGCAGCTCTTGGGTACACAGGCATAGTGGCAATAAATTCTGGCCCCTAAACCAGAGCTCCAGCCCATGTCTTCGTCAGCTGAGAACTGAGGCCTCTTCTTGGGGCCCTGGTGGGAGTGTGGCCCCAGGCTGATGGCACAGGGTGAGGGTCCTACCCTCCAGGAGCCAGAAGACAGGGATAAGGGGCTGGGTGAAGAGGGCATGGAAGGTGTACAGGTGTTGGGCCTGGGGCTCCAGGCTGTAGAAGGTTAGGCAGCCCAAGGCTAGGTCCAAATCCACACCTAGGAGTAGTCCTGACACCCCTGGAAGGCGCTGGACCTCCCCATTGTGCCAGGCCTGGATGCTGTCCTCCTTGACACAGAGCCCCCAGGAGGCGGGCCCACGGCCGATGTTGTCTGTGTGGGGCCCCAGCTTGCAGCGTCTCAGGTGTGGGTAGGCAACACCGAGTGTCACTGAGTGGTCTGAGGCACGCACCTCCCAGTAGTGCCGCCCAACCTGGAAACGCTGAGTACACTGCACCTGCCAGAGCTCGAAGCAGCCTGGCCTGGCCGGGCCGCGAGGCTGGCGACAGTGCTTCACCTGCCGGTACTGGCAGGATAGGTAGAAGTGGCGGTTCGCACTGTCTGGGTCAAAGGTGAGATTGCGATAATCTGTTGGTGAAAGACAAACGGAATGAGCCAGCCTGCCATCCCATCCAGCAGGGAGAGAACACAGCTGCAGCTGCATTTATCCACTTCTGTCTGCCACGTAAGCTGCATGCTGAGCATTTCATTCCTGCTGCAACCTTGTGGGTGGAACCCTCCACTAGCCCTATTTCACAGATGTGAACCCTGAGGCCCAAGAGGCATTAAGTGGAGGAATCAGGACAAATCACAGGTCTGTGCATGCAGACTGTCCTTAGACCCTATGCTGCTGTGTCTGTTTCTGGTGGACATGCACAGGTTATATATCTGGCAACACATGTGTAGGGGGTAGGAGCTAGCCCCCACCTCACCTCTGACCCCAAACTCTATGACAGCACAGCCACAGCATGTGCCCCCGCCATACTCACACTTGCACACAAACATGCACACACAGGCATACACATGTATGTGGTCACAATATACACACTTCCTCAGGCACACACGGTCACATGTGCACACCCTGGGTCTCCTTACTCTGCCAGAGTTTCCTCCTCTGTGGACACACTGTACTTGGTGCCAGTGCCAGGGGCCCTGGGGCTTCTAGAGGGCAAAACAGAGTTAGAAGAGCGGATGGGGATGCACTGGGAAGGGACCCTTGTCCCCCCACCCTGTAGGGAGGGCAGCTGGACCAGGAGAGATAAGGGGAGAGCTGGAGTCAGCCTTACCCATGGGGCCCAAGTCTGCAGCCTTGGTTGGGGCCCCGGGGTGGCTCCCCTCTTCCAGGAGGAGTCCACACAGACGGTTCAGTAACTCCTTCAGGTCACCTAGCTGTTGGTCTTCGTCCCACTGCAGAGAGGTCAGTGGCTCAAGTGGCCCTGGGGGCTCCAGGAACTGTGATTCCTGAAGGCAGGAACAGTTGCTGTAGGCCAGGGCATGAGGGGCAGGGAGCCCCACCTACCCACCCCTAGCCTGCCGCCCTGAGGCTGGTACCTGCAGTAAGGTCCTGTCATCCACCTGCTCCAGGAGTTCCCGGATCCTGTGGCCATGGCGAGCCAGGGCCTCCAAGTGGCCCTGCAGCCGCTGCTCCTCATCCTGCGCCTGTGCCAGCACTCGTGTCTTGGCCACCTCAATGTCCCTGAGCACTGCAGCCCGCCGTATTTCCAGGGCCTGCTGCAAGCTGGTGAACTTGCTGGAGACTGAGGAGGCCAGGGAGCAGGCCAAACTCTGGGTGGGCACAGCAGGGACTTCAGGGTGACTGGGGCCCTGTGCCATGCCAAGGCAAGCCAGGACCAGGGCTGCCCAATAGGCTGGGGGGTAGGGATATGGAAAACCAAGGTTCTGGGAAACTTCATCCTCCCAAGACACCCAGCTCCCTGATCAGCACCTCATTCCCTGCTTCCAAAAACATGTTCAAGGTAGCTCATGCCTACTGCTGGTGCCCTAGGGACCAGCCAGCAGCTGCATGCAGGACAGTGTGAGGGCGTGGTGGGTGGAACAGGGGCAGCCCCAGTACCTGGATCTGTCTGCTTCGCTCCTGTACCTCCTGAAGCTGGGCCTGGGTCTGGGTGGTCTGCTGCAGGGTCACTTCCAGCCTGGTTCTCAGCTGGGCCTGTGGTGCCCACACATAGGATGAGCAGTGAAATAGGGCCAAGGTTGGCAGTGAAGTCCCCCTTTGACATCCAACAAATTCCTGCAGCTGGCAGGCAGACCCTCCTCAAGTTGCCCCAGGCCAGGCTGAGCAGAGGGCAGGTACACAGAGCAGAGCACCAGCCACACTGCCAGCACAGGGAGGCCTTGACAACCTCCCTTCCCCACTTGCAGCAGAGCAGTATATGGGCAGAGAAGCCTTGGGGTGGGGACACAACTTCTGATCCCACTCCTGCCTCTTCCAGGCTGAGCAAGCTGGGGCACAGCTACTCTCTCTGGGCTGTAGCGTCCCCCTAGTTGATAAACAAGAGCAATAATGCTGGCACAGGCGGTCTTGCAGGGAATGGGCAACCCAAAGCACCAAACTGCCTGACAGGTATATATGTAAAGCAGATCTTCCAGGACTGGACACAAGGGACAGAGGCCCCCTGTTTGGTCACACCGCCTCAGATTCCCTTGAGGACATAACACTGCAGTCTCAAGGGAACAGGGCAAACCATGCTGATGCCAGGAGCCCCAGTTTCTGCCCACATCTAGGACTTGGGTCCCTGCACGTGGTGAAGAGCACTGTCTTGCTTTTGCTCCTCCCAGCAAAATACGGAGGTGGGGATTGTTTTATTCTATCAAGGTTGAATAAACAGGTTCAGAGTTGATAATTTGCTCAAAGTCCTCAGATCTTCTAAAGACTGAGGCTTGTGTTTTGCCCAGGCCTCTGCCTCCAGTATTCAAGTGACAAATGTAGAAGGTGAGAGGGCAGACTCTTTTGGGGTGCCAGACCCTGCTCTAGGGACAGGGACCTATCCCCTCATAGTCCCACATCCCTTCCCCTTTCACTAGCAAAACTTTCAGGAGCACGAGGTGCTGGCTGCACCAAGATCACTTCTTTCCTCTGCCTGGCTGTCATCTACTGGCCTCCCTTGAAAAGGTGCTAATCTAGCTCCGTCTTAGCAGCCACAGGGAACAGCCTCCAATACTCTGGAGCCCTCTTCTTTCATCCATCTCAGCCACTCCTGTGACCTCACCTTGGCCCCAGCACCAGCTCTGAAATCCACCCTTCTTACCTGTTCTAGTCTCCTCTGTCCCCTGCCTTGGCAGACTCCCAACCATATCCCTCCCCACCCATCAGGCCTCCAGCACCCTCTTCCTGTCCCATTCAATATCGTTGTGCCATCATCCTGCTACTTGCTGGCCCCACCCCTCCTCATCCCATCCCTGTCTTTGATGCTGAAATGGCTCTTGTCAAGGGCTCTGGCTACTTCCGTAGTGTGGATTCCAATGGCCACTTTTGTCCTCCTCTTACTGAACCTCTTCTCAGCATGGACACCCTTCCACCCCTGGTGCCCTGCTATGTGCTACACTTCCCTCCTGTCTCCCTGGGAGCTCCTGGTTGGTTTGACTGTAGCCCTGGGCCCAACAGGGGACTCCGTCCTCCCCAGGACCTTCTCTACCTGCCAGTGCTAAAGACTCAACTTTCTACTTTCTTTTGACAGATCCCTAGGACCCCTGGTTTGTCCCACTAGTGATTCCAGCCCTGATGTGTCCCAAACCAAACTCTGCTCTCCACACCCAGACCTGGCCACTGACTTGCTCCAGACAGAGACCTGGGTGTCTTCTTTGCTGCCCTCTTTGCCACCCCCAAGTCCACTCCAGCCTGTTTTCTGCTTCTACCAGGCACTGACTCCCACTCAAGTTTTTTCACAGGCTCCCATCTCCCCTCCAACTCCTTCCACATCCATAGCCCAAATCCAACCAAGTCTGCTTCCAAGCCTGCACTGGCTTCCCAGGCCCCTAGAGCAAGAGCCAGACTCCTCACCGCAGCCCACTAGGCCCTTTCAGACTTGGGCCTGCAGACCCCACAGGCCTCTGCTACATCTTTCTTTGCCTCCAGGGACCCAGCATGCTCAGTTCTTTCCCAGCACAGAGGAGCCAGCTGCCTCCTCCACCTGGAAAGCTCTTCACCCAGTCCCTTCCCTGGCTGGGACTTCCTCAGCTCTCATGTGTCAGCATAAAGGCCACCTCCTCTTTCTCCTCCTGGTCTCCTAAGCAGAGCTGTCCTATGCTTTCCTTATTGCACTTTGTTGTATTCACATCTTACTGGGACAGTGATCCCTTAAGCAGATCCCAAGTCTGTTTAGGGTAGGGAGCATGTGATTTATTTACCAGCAGGCAGCTCCTCCCCACACTGCAGGTGCCACCCTTATTTATGAAAGGTTTGTTCATGGAGCACCTGCTGTATGCCTGACAGTTCTCCAGGGCCTGCAGTGGAGCCGGAAGCTTCCAGCCCAATACCTCCATTATGCCTTCAGCCATGAGAACGGTGTCTCCTGAGAATCGGCCGGGTGGGGTGGAGGTGCTGGTTACAGATACACAGACCCCCGAGTTATTGTAAATACCGCTCAGGTTCTGGGAAGAAAAACACTCTAAAGCCGTCTCCAGCTAACACTCCTCACCCCGCTAGGCCCGCGGGGAGTCACCCTGCGCTGGCAGGGAGACCGTGGCCTGGCCCCCTCCCGCAAATTCCACCCGGTGGCCGTGTCACCTCGCGCTCGAGGCGCTCGGCGTCCAGCAGCGCCCGCTCATGGAGGCGACACTCTTGCACGGTGCACGCGCTGCACACGCAGCGGCCCTCGGTCCGGCAGAAAAGGTCGAGCGGCCGCCCATGGCGCGGGCAGCGCGCACTGGGGTCGGGGTCAGGGCCAGGGCCCGGGTCCGTGGCGGGCCCGGCGCGCACCACCTCCAGCACGCCGCTGAGGGCCACGTTGCGGCGCAGCTCGGCGCCGTCGGGGAAGGGCTCGCGGCACTCCGGGCACTCCTTCTCGCATCTGTCCCACCAGTTCCGGATGCAGCCCGCGCAGAAGTTGTGCCCACAGGGCAGCGTAGTCGGGTCCCGGTACAGTCCCAGGCAGATGGCGCAGGTCAGCTTGTCCTCCAGCTGCCGCACGGCCATGGCGGAGGCGGGAAGGAGGGCAGGCCCGGAGGGCGCGGCCGCCGTGGGGCGGAGCGAGGTCCCCACCCAGGAAGAATCGGTCGGCGGGGCGGACACAACACACCCTCGGGCCCTTTCCCCCATGTCTACCCTGCCCGCCTCGGAGGCTTCTGGACACTCGGTTGAGAGCTGGCCCTGACACCTCCATCCCACCTCCCAGCCGCTGTATTGGGTTCCGCGTCAGCCTGCGGAGATCGAGGGTCAGGATCCCTGCTCTCAGGCTTCTCCTGGCTGGGGACTATCACCTAACCTCACCTCTACTGGGTTCCTCAGCTATAAGCCAGGCTGACAGCATAGACACCCCCTTCCCGGGTGTTTAATTGAACAGTGCCCACCGTGGGTGGAGGTGGGAGCTGGCTTCCGGGCACACAGCTAGTGCTCAGTAAATGCTCCCTCCTGACCCGAGGCACTTTGCTGCACTTTTCCTGGAGTTAGGTTCCAGGCCCTGCCAGATGAGGGGACTCCCTTTTCCGGGCTACACCTAATTCTGGTTCTTTTAAAGTAAACCGTATGGCATGGCGCTGTAGCTCAGTGACTAGGGCGCTAGCCACATACGCCGGAGCTGGCGGGTTCAAACACAGCCCTGGCCTGCCAAACGACAACTACAACCAAAAAATAGCCGGGCGTTGTGGTGGGTGCCTTGTAGTCCCAGCTACTTGGGAGGCTGAGGCAGGAGACTCGCTTGAGCCCAGGAGTTGGAGGTTGCTGTGAGCGTGATGCCATAGCACTGTACCCAGGGAGATAGCTTGAGGCTCTGTCTCAAAAAAAAAAAAAAAAAAAAGTGAACTGGGTAATGGAAATTTATGGTTGCCAAGAGACAGACCAATTAACCTTGGCCTTTTTCAAACGCCCCTTTAATAGATAACCAAGGCAACTTTCAGATGCAACCCGCGTCCCCTCTGTGCCAGCCATCTCGTCTGGAGGTCCAAGCTGATCTGGAACTTCAGTATTTAAGGGGTGACTTTAGCACTTCCCTTGTAGCTGAGCCGAGCAGATTGGAAGCCCGTATCCACTACCTTCCTCAGTGTGTCCTGCCAGCATGAATCTGAGGATGGTTACTTTTTTTTTTAACCAAGTGGACTGATTTTGAGGCAGAAGGTGCTCACTGGGAAGCTGCATTGTGTCCTACATGTGGAACTTATCTGTTGGGAAAAGGTGCCTAATCTCCTCTTGACTAGCAGGCAGCCTTCTCTTTGGGAGAGGGGAGAAAAAACACCATCTAGTGAGGGTACAGGGGCTTTCTGGCCCTCCGCATCAAGTGCCCCCAGATGTCTCTTGAGACCCTTGCTGCCCCATGTGACAGGGATATCCCAAGCTTGGAGTGGAACAGAGCCCTGGGTAGAGGGGCCAATGCCACTGCCTGGGGCACACAGCTAGTACTCAATAAATGCTCCCTGCTGACCCCAGTGCTCTGCTGCACTTTTTCTGGGAGCTGGGTTTTGGGTACTTGCCATATTGGGGTGTCTCCCTTCTTGGGCTCCCTTTGCTCTGCCTGCCTTTTCTCTGCCCACACGGTTAGCCCCGGCACACTCAGAAGGCAGAGGCAGCCCTCTTCTACCTATGAACTAATAAGCTCCACCAGGGCACAGGCTGCTCCTGGAACACAGATCCAGACCAGCCACAGCAGAAATCCTCTTTATTCACATCCCCTAGCCCCACAACCTGAGAGTCCATTTCACTCCAAGCTCCCGGCCTGATCCAAGTCCCACAGCTTGGTCCCAAGGAGCTGTGTCTTCATCTTCACTCTTCCTGCCTGCCTAGCCCACTCTCTGAGGTGGATGCACTCTGGCCCCTCAATAGATGCCATAAGTGGGCTCATGACTGTCCCTGTACCGGTCCAGGTAGCGTAGTGGCTGCCGGTGGGGGAAGCGCTTCTGTTTAGGGTGGTAAGGGGGCGGTCGCACAAACTCAAACACGGGTTCCCGCATGTCTGCAAGAAGAATGAGAGGCACGGGGTGGATTCCTGCTGGCCTGAGCCTTCTCAGGCCATGGCTTGCCCATCCTAGGGCCAGTGGTGGACCTAAGGAAGCCTCTTCCTGGCAGGGTAAGAGGTGTCTGTGAGCTCAGGCCCACCCCCCACCCTCCAGCCCCACTTTGCCCTTACCCAGAAGCTGGTGGAAGATGTGGGTGACTGAGTCATCCCAGCGGCACTGGAAGAAGGCCAAGCCAGCTGGAGTCATGGTTTCCTGGTGTTTCTTATAGAAATCGAAAGTGTGGAAGGTTCGCTGGGCCAGCTGGTAGCTATGAGAAGTTGGAGAATGTACAAGAGTCAGCAGAAGGCACCAAAGCCCCCCACACCAGGCAGTCCTGAGAAACCCCTCAGGGGTCTGCTAGCACCCTGCTTTTCCGCCAATCTGAAGGCTTAAATCAAGAGAACTAAGCAAGAGCGGCCACCCTGGGGGAGGAGCAGGCCCCAAGCCTGTAGCGGGAGTATGTGGGTGGATTACCAAGGTGAGGGCCGGGTGTCCTCAGAGAAGTTCATTGCCTTGTCCTGCTTAAAGAGCAAGAAGGTGAAGCGGTGGAAGCCAGAGCCTCGGGCAGGGAAAGGGGGCAGGTAGGGACACGTCTCCTGTCCTTCAGCCACCCTGTTGCCTGGGATGTTGGTTCTGGTATGAGGAAAAGCACCTGTTAACTGCTGCTCCACAGAGGCACCAGGAATATCCTCGCTGCATACCCCAGGGACTGACATAATTCCCAGGAGGACTGACACTAATGCTTCCCGCCAGATGTTAAAGGAGGAGGCTGAACTTTGTGACCTGTGGCAAACCTGAGGGGAGCAGGTGGGGCTCCAAGGGGAGGACAGGGTTCCAGAGACTGTCAGCATGGCCAGGCAGCCCATTTACAGGCCCTGGGGAGTTGAAGGGTCTGCCACAGTCACTCAGGCTAGAAAGCCTTGCCACTTCTGGGCTGTTTCTCTAAAGGATCTGAAGTCCCTGACAACAGGGAGTATGTGTCCTGCCTGGCACTGGGGTGACCACTGTAGATCCTTCAGGCACAACTTCCCAGAGGGTCCTGCTGCACAGGTTGGTAAATGCAACAGAATAAAAATGACAGAAACCAGCCTTCCAGTCACTGGTCCCAATTACCTAGAATCCAAAGCTGGGGTCACCTGCCTGACTCTACTCCCTGGCTTGGTGCCTAGAGCCAAAAGCCACTGAGAAAAGCAAAAGGTGGCCTAGCCCTTCCCCTGATCAGAGAAGGAACTGAACACCCAGTGGTTCCATGAGCATGTGGAGAGATGTCACAGCTGCCAGAGGTCTTTCATGTTCCTTTTCCTATTTGACAGTCACAGTACACTTCAGGGTGGGAAGCCGTGCGGCAGCATCATCCTAGCTTTATAAGCGAGGAAATGAGTTCAGAGAACTGAAAAAGCTGTGGGGACTGGCCAAAGCCCACTGCCTATCCCTTCCTGCAAGTGTACACCTGGATCCCAGTGCCCCTGACTCCCTCAGGAAGGGTCATCTCTTGGCAGGGAGGTGAATTCCAAATCCCACAGTTATTGTTTGGTGGAGTCACGGCTGAAACTCAAGTGAAGTTCTTTCTAGGCTCCCAGGGCCTCCTTGCCACCTCTGACCCAGCCCCAACCCCAGATACTCACACCAGCCAGTGGATATACTCAGCATCTGGCTCCAGCAGGTGTCCATCTGCACAAAAACATACCCTACTGACCACAGGCCCTGTCACTCCCTTGTAAAGGAGCCAGGGCTAGAGGTCTCTACCTGGCCCCTCCCCCAGCTCCCCGGACCTTGGCTCGAGGAAGGTTAGGGAGGCAGGAGGCCTGGTGAGCCCAAGATGCCTACCCAAGTTGGTGAGCAGCAGTGTCCACATGGAACCCTCTTCTGCTTCATAGGTCACCTCTGGGGCCTGGGCAGCCTGATAGGAATAAAATAGGAGAGCTGTAGTCCCATCAACAACAAACTGCTGAAAACAATGCTTTTCTGGAAGGCTGAACTCTGAGGAAGGCTTGCAGAAGGGGGAGCCCACTCTGACCTAAGCACTGTTGACAGCCCCTCAGAGTCAGTAGGCATAGAGATGCTTATGGGCTCAGCGCCTGTGGCTCAACCGGCTAAGGCGCCAGCCACATACACCTAAGGTGGCAGGTTCGACTCCAGCCCAGGCCCACCAAAACAATGATGGCTGCAACCAAAACATAGCCAGATGTGGCGGGCG